AGAAGAGTTCCGGTTACATCAAAGCCCCAATCCAGGAGGCTGGGGAACAGAGCTGCTTACCTCCAAGAATTTCCAGAGCTGCCACTGAACTTATTTTTTGGAGACAGAGGGGGAGGGGTTCGGGAGAAGGGGAATGACACCATTCAGACTGTGGGCTAGCCCCAGCGGTGTGTTTTTGCTATATCAAAGCCTTTTCTGCGGGGTTTGCTGCCCTTTTTTTCAAAAGCACCTACTGAATTTAATATTACAGCTGTGTGTTTGTCGGGTTTATTCAATAGGGGCCTTGTAATCCGATCTGAATGTTTCCTAGCGGATGTTTCTTTTCCAAAGTAAATCTGAGTTATTAATCCACCAGCATCATTACTGTGTTGGAATTTATTTTCCCCTCTGTAACATGATCAACAAGGCATGCTCTGTGTTTCCAAGATCGCTGGGGAAATGTTTAGTAACATGCTCGATAGTGGAAGTGGGAGAGGGTAGTTGTGTGCATGTTTCCTCCTGCCTGTGCTCTGTTGGCCCCTCTTTTTCTTTACAACCACTTGTAAAGAAAACTGTGTACACAGAGCCAAGCAGGGGTTTTAAAAGGGGAGTCTGATGGTGGTGGCGTAAAGGAGTTGACACATGGAAATTATTAGACATAGAAAGGAGGTTGGGAGATACTTTTTGTCTTTGGTGCTTGACAAATGCTAGCTACGTTTTGCTGGCTTAGCTGCCCCACTTATCTGCTCCTTCAAATTAAAGGGCATATCTATTCCCCCCAATAAGTTTCCACTACACATGAGCAGAATTCACTATTCATTGTCTGACTCTGAGCTGTCTCTTGACTATTCTATCTCTGAAAAAAGTTCATGTGCTTTTTCTTTTCCCCTCTCTTCCCAACTGTGCCTAGAACATCTGGAGAACATCCCAGGGACCAGCGAAAACTCTGCTTTTCGTTTCCTCTTTAACCTCAGCAGCATCCCAGAGAACGAGGTGATCTCCTCTGCAGAGCTCCGGCTCTTCCGGGAACAGGTGGACCAGGGCCCAGATTGGGAGCGGGGCTTCCACCGCATAAACATTTATGAGGTTATGAAACCCCCGGCAGAAGCGGTGCCTGGGCACCTCATCACACGACTACTGGACACGAGACTGGTCCACCACAATGTGACACGGTGGGAAACTTTCGATGTGAGCCCTGCGGTCCTTCGCTGGACCCGGGAGAAGCAGCCGAACTATGGGCTGGCCATTGAGGTGACTCACCTCCATCAGACACGGACCCATCAGGGCCAGCATGTCAGGATTAGCCGATCGTTACCTCAAGGGAGTGGGAATTGGGCCCAGCTCCGGCCCCTCCTGGTCACCTTTGGCCATGATGGCCGGGGCCATGCCTTGACCCGACGCCAGAGGGCCAAGCGTAGCCCTAAGCATCACCCACAGCGGGCCCGGAAGAAGAATAAGAACTGCCGGCGCCACTCGCTCTATGTGGACTTCAGCGACGTGGGCTGGAATGACTGGATTGTGGCCCCACCAGGCTACCAGGCCTTTTACTGCCACGGGGACTGTCCCTTTCCTCTGGCTGACCACCTCAACTCAACCAACCATGCCATTGTGCAGACCCTGGTTAACTCTGTCAATTCCAGTATCCCCAAAGCCTGTTGTGTGCCCACTGAGCTGAGTGCCATCTCCATGCTGTATCTGGATGAGTATGACAAGGTGGTACTGAAAAATTATCAGGAGATGGTAGTAGAGGGTTGTGGGTGCCGCTGAGATTGGGCAGTCCTTGAGGATACACAGACAGATACACGCACACACAAACACACACACGTTCCCATCCACTCACCCACACACTACACAGACTGCTTCCTTATAGCTGGACTTCTATCTTTAAAGAAAAAAAAAAAAAGGAAAAAAACCTAAACATTCACCTTGACCTTATTTATGACTTTACGTGCAAATGTTTTGACCATATTGATCATATATTTTGACAAAATATATTTATAACTACATATTAAGAGAAAAAAATAAAATGAGTCATTATTTTAAAGGTAAACTCTGGCCTTTTTCTCTTTAATCCTTTCTCTTTTCCTTCAGGTCTATCTTGAATGAGGTTTCTTTTCTGTTGAGGTGGGATGGAGGCTGGTTGAAGTCAGAGGGTGGTAACTGGAGGTGGTTAAGTTGTAGGGACAGGAAGTAAACTGATGGAGAGAGATGGTAATTGCCAGCATAGGTTGTTTTCCATTTCTATTTAATGTTAACAAGGACGCAGCATCCTCTCCCATCTGGATGACACATGCCTTGGAGAAACAGTGGGATGAAAGGAGTAGGTCAGATTAAAGACTTAGTTTTGGGCTCCTGGTACATCTTCTGTTTTTGCTCACCTGTTAAGAGGTGTGTCAAAGCTAAGTGTGATGAAGTAGTCTCAACTCTAGAAAAGTAGTTCTCACCTCACTTTTATGATACCTCAGGGTGTCTCCAGTTACCACAGGCACTAATGCAGTATTTTCAAACCAAAACTAATTTTTTTTTGAGATGAGGGTCTCCATAAGTTGCCCAGGTTAGTCTTGAATTCTGGGCTCAAGGGCTCCTCCTGCCTTGGCCTCTGGAATAGCTGGAATTACAAACACATACTGGTTTTTGTTGTTTTTGTTTAATTTTGAGAATTGGGTTTTACCTAATACAACAAATAATGAATATGCCCTAACTTTGGAAAGGTTGACTATACCACATGGTAGAATTTCTCCTTTTCCTCTGTTCACCACAAAAGACCCTCATCAAGTTCAAAATCCCAATAGATTGAGCTGGGTGGGAGTTGACAACAGGGTCAGATACTAAAGGGTTAGGATTTCTAAGTAGGCACTATGCAAGTGTTCTACATTCTCCTTTTCTCTCTGTGCTGACTCCCCTTCCCTGGAGCTGGTGGATCTGATGTTAGCCAGAGTTGTTTTTAAGGAGATCTCAATTTTGGCCAAAGCAAAAGAAAGATGATGCTTAAGCTGTTTGGGTGGAGGGGTGTCCCTCAGTTAAGGGCTGCCAGCAGGCAGAAAAATGGCTTTCTGGAATGGTATGGGTGTGGGAATTAACAGAACCAGAGGAGAGGCCTTTCCTTTTTCTCTTTTGACACCAACAACTAAAGCTCTGAATCTTAGCTTGTTCAGGCTCATTTCTTATATGTGTGTTTTCCTTCCTCGGCTTGGATGGATTTGGGGCAAAGGCAGTTGGTATCTTTATATAGTCTGTGTGGAAAAGGCTGAGAAGTGCATTTCTCCATCATGAAGGTGTAGGTATGAGTAATAGTGTTGCTGTTGCTAGTGGCATGCATGCACCCAAAGAGAATGTGTGTGTGCCCACCCCTGGCATTTGCGTTTCTCTCTCTGTGTGCACTCCTTGCACTCTTGTACACACACTCTTGCATATGCTCTTGGGGGTGGGGTGGGATGGGTGAAGCAAAATTCATTTTTGTTTTTAATTATTGAAGTTCTACACTCCTCCAAAAGGAGCAGCTTAGTGGAAACCAATAAAAATAGAAGTGGGGTAGTTGCCAAAGCCCCAGCTCCCTGGAGAGCGCAGGTGGAGAGAGGAGATCAGAGCCCCAGGCAAAGGCAGCAAGACTCCACAGTTCCTCCAAAAATCCCCAAAAAGAGGGATCCTGGCCCCCTGCTCCAGCCCCCCAGGTCGCTGCCCCTTTGATTAATGGTAAGGAGCTCAAATAAATCATTTAGGGAAGCCCATTATGGGTTTCCCTCAGGCGGCCTCGTTTTTGTTTTGCCCAATTTCCAGCAACTTTCTGAAATGTCGGTGTCACTGAAAAGGAACCAGTAGATCTCCAACACTTGGACAAATTATCCTAGGGTGAGTACTGAGCCCTGTGGCTGTTAGGCTCAGGTCACTTTCTAGCAACCACTCCCCCCGCCGTCCTCCCCCTCCTTCTACTGGCTTACTTTCAGGAATGGATAATGTTGTTTATTTGTTCAGCCAAATATTTGGTCTGGGGAATTTACCGTGAAATTCTGTGAATTGCATATACCTAGTTAACAAAATAGTCCTAATGCCACAAATGTTAGCATAGAAAACAAGGAACTATGGCCAGCTTTAACTCTTTAAATTCTGTTAGAAAAGTGTAGTCTTGAGACTCAGGGAGATAAGGAACTGGACGTGTGTGATTATTAAATTTAGGTTTCACTAGTTACTGTTTTTACCCAGTACCTCCTGGAAGTTGCAGGGTGATTCTCAGCGTTGGTTTTGGATCAAAGCTTGCCATTTTTCCCCACTTCATATTTTTCCCCCAGAGTCATGTTCTCATTACTTAAAGAAAGATGCGGAGGGAGGATCGCCCTTGAGGAGTTCAGCACAGTTGTAACCACATCAGAGGAGCTACTTGGTCGCTCCCTGCCCAACCCTTAAACTGGAACCAGCTTCCTAGGAGCTTAAGTCAAAAAAAAAAAAAAAAAAGAGGGACAGGGGGGCGGGGAGAACGCATCAAACATTCCCCGGCTTTCGTTGCATAATTCGCCCAGAACCTGCCAGGTGACCTGCTGACTTTGTTTTCTGTCTCGACCGCGCTGGGTCCCACCACCCGCCTTAACGCCGGGCAGCGCCACGCTGAGAGGGCCGGGCGCGGGCCGGGCGCTGGCAGACCCCAGTAACCCCCCGGCCTTGGACGGACCTCAAGATCCTGCCCTGGAGCTCCGCCTCCCGCCTGCTCCGGGCGTCCCGGGCCGGGCGGCGGCGGGGCAGCAGGGGGCGTCCTCCCCGCGGGGGACCGCGGGGCCTGCGCACCTGGCGGCGGCGCGCGGGAGCTGCACCGCGGGCGGCCTCCTCGCGGCCCCTCCCCCGGCGGCCCGCAGATTTCAGGGCCCCCCGCCCGAACTGCCGGCCCTTCCCGCTCATCCGCCCTCGGGGCCCGGCGCGCTGGGGAAGCTCTGCAGAGACACACGGATCTGATTAGCGCGCGCTGGTCCTCCGGGCGGCCGCCCGGCATATTTCACGTGAAATGGGGTCAAACGGCCGAGCCGAAGCGTGGAGTCTTGGGGGGAAGGCTCACCGGGGTGGAGGGTGTGAGAGGGGGCTAGGCCTTCAGGGGTTTTCTGTGCGGAGCAGAGAGCGAGGTTGCGGAGCGAGGGCCTCCAGTCACCGAGCGCCCAGGGGCCCGCGTGCGGGAGCGACTCGGTGGGAGCACGCACGGCGTGGGCGCGTGCGGAACACACCCTCCGGCCGAGGGTCGGACGTGCAGACAGGCCCTGAAGGCCCAACCGCTTTCTCAGCTCCCACCCCAGTCCGCACCACCAGCGGACACACGGAGCCCTGGGCCCTGTCTGAACTGCTACCACCGCCCCCTCATCCCCTGTTCCTCAGACGTTGGGAGAGGGGAGAACAGGGGAGGCCCAGGGTGTGTGAGAGGAGAGTTGGCTGATTTCTTTCAAAAATGAGATGCCAAACCCGTGATACAAAATGACAGCACCTCAGTTGACCTCCGCAGGGCCTCTGGCCCAGGGACTCACAGCGCCTGCCCCCCTCCCCTTCTAAAGGTGAGTCAGAGCTTATCTGAGGCCCAGGTCTCTGACCTATTTGTCTTCAAAGACACCTTTTAGTTCAACACAGAGCAAATTTTACTATTCGTGCATTCTCTTTTTTAAAATGAAAAGAATAATGCAACTGGAACGTTGGTGCCCTTACAGTACCTGAGAATCAGAAGGTTATTAGTATTCCCTAGAGGAATTTAGGATAACTGGTGGACTGCCAAATTAGCACTGATTGATGCAGCTATTCAGGCTTATCATGTGATACAAACTAGCACAGTTCTGAAAACTGTAACTGGAAATTAAATTCAGAGTGGTTAGAAATGTGGTCCGGGTGGGATTGCAAGGGTCCCATTTCCCCATGCATTCAGCACCTAATGGCAGAATAAATAAACAGTGGGAACTGCAATGCTCACCAGTGGAGAAAAGTGGCTGGTTTTAGGAAAAATATTGGATTGCTCTGATGTTAAAAAACAAAAACCAACTCACACACAGAAATTTTGAAAAAGAAGTAAAAAGTTCAAGGTGTGCAATGTTTATTCAATCCTAGAAAAAGAAATTAAAATATTTTTTCACTGAGGATGCCATTTGAAATTACCATTCATGGGTCACTTTACTTAAGGTATTAACTGAAGCAAGTTCCCATTGTCTCTGCTTTTTCTCTCTGTTCAAAATATTCTTTAAAACCCCTGAATGAAAATATAAATGCTGTATAGTATGCTGTTCAGAACAAACAATTCAGAAAATATAATACTATAGGATTCAGAAATGTTTACTTCAAAAATGTGAAATTTGAGAAAAAGAAGACAAGATGGAACAATAATTTGCTGAGTTGTGTTACTAATGAGAATTTCTTAAGTCCAGCTTTCAGTCAGTTTTGCCACATTTTCTGAAGGAAAGATCTCATTGATCTCTCAAATTTGTATAACTTGATTTCTAGCAAAAATATTTAAAAATTACAAGTCCCCCCTCCCCAAATCCTTGAACCCCATAGACTAGGTGCAAGTAGATTCATTTCACATAGTTTCATTACCATTACTTTAGCACTGCTTTTTTCTTCAGTCTTATTAACTGAAGCCTTTGCCAGCAGATAGTTCTCTAAAGGGTTTACAGCATACTGATTGAGATTTTAAACTTTAGACTCAATTATTTAGCCCTGTAAATATTTCTCTTTCCCTCTGGTACCAGCAACTGACTCCATCCTGCATATAGTTGCCCAGGATTAGTTAAGAAAATGTACAACTGTGTTCAACTCAAGCTTCATGCTGATTTAATCTTTTAATCCTTGTCATTCGGTTTTCAAAGCAGTTTGCTTCTGAGGCTGGACCTTGAGCGAAGAGGCCAAAGATATGTACATTAGAGGAACAGTGAGAGAGAGAGAGTTTCCAAGTGTACTTACTGCAGTCTTCTAGATCACAACAGGTATGGTGAAGGCTATACTTAATGTCCCTTGGATTCATCTATAATTCAGAAGTAGAAAAAATGTGTATCTTTTGAGAACTGACTGATAACGTTCCTTTAATTGGTCAGTTAGAGGTACATAACCCAGAGTGTTAACTTCATCTCCAGAAAGCTCAGACCCAAGCATTTCGTGTCTGATTGCAGTATCTCATTCCATTTGGTTAGAGGCAACTGTCTCCTTCTTCTTTTGCTTCTAGTGTTTGGTAAAATGACATTTTAAAAAAACTATGAGAAAGCAAGTTTACTTAAGTCTTATCCCCCTGAAACAACTACTTAGGTTTTTCTGTTTCCTTTTCATCTGTGTCCATATATTTATGTTTTCATATAGCTTTTATTTCATGTTCTGTTTTTCTTAATTTCAGATCAATATTATAACCTTAACGTATTTTAAATCCTCAATGAGTGGTTTATACATATGTTAATGTGAACCAGCCCCACTCCTTTGTGAGAATGTAGGCTGGGTCTAAAACTTAAATTTTTAACTCAGGCAATTTTAAGCAGCCTGACTGTAATATCAGGGCTGTGTGCATCATGTCCAAATCTTATTAAGATTCTTACTGACTTCTTAAGGCTAGGCTTAAGCACTGTGGTCCCAGGACTAAACAGAATGCTCCTTTGTGTGCTTTAAGTATTCTGAAAAGTGGGTTAACTGACATCCCAGGCTCAGACATTTTTGTTGACTGAGCTTACTGAAGGATTTGTATCTTCATGATTTGGCCATCTTGGGAATATGTTCCTTCTCTGGAGAAAATCAACTATGACCTGGACAGGGAGGAACAGGGAGGATCTCTGTCTCATATGCTCAGAAGCCACTGGCTGAGCAATTTCCCACTGGACTCGAGGTGCATTCCTCGTTTTCTTGCTGTGATTTTTTGCACTGGTTTTCTTGGAAATTGAGGGTGGTGGGAAAGGGAGGCAGAATTATCTAAATATAATAATTACCAAATTGAAACCTATTCAGACAGGTTACCAGGCTCAGACTGACCTTGACACTTTCAACCTTCAGATTCCAGTTGGTTGGGGTCAGACACAAATGTCGAGTTGCTGACTGATTTCCACATGCTTCTTTTGTGTCCCTTAACGAGGGCAGACAAAAGATGTTTTTCCAATGGGACTCACTCTTTATGAGGCCTGACCCTCCAAGGAGCAAATTAATCTCAGGCGATTTTGAGGGTTTAGGGCACTAAGAGAATTTTTAGAGCATGGAGAAGTAATTTGTTCAATGGTACCTTAAAAGAGTTAATTTACCTCCAAAAGGTGAGTTCGTTTTACTATCAGGAGTCCTTTACTTCCTCTGAGATCAGACTTGTTATTTGCATAGCAAAGCATTCCGTTTAGCTGGAAAGGAGGGGGTGGGGATTGTTAACGAGGAAAGTCACTTTTCCCACAGTCTTTCAAAACGCAACAGTGTGGCAAGTGGGTTTGATCAACCTCTCTTCTCTCCTAAACTCTAAAACTTCAGACTGTTTTGCTCATTATCTATCTTGAGATTGACCAGCTTTTCTAGATTGAAGAGTTATAGGACTTAGCATATAGCTGCTGAAAGGACAGTTTTGCTAACATTGTTTGTTTTGGCAAGTTAGTGTAGCCTTGCAGGTGAAAACTACAGAAAAACAAACAGCAAACTTCACCAACATCCCTCTTCCTCTTTACAGACATTGCCTTTTATTTTTAACACAATCCAAATAAACCAGGGACAAGATTTTTAATATATTGGTCACACTTTGCATGGGGATTTTACAAATTTATCTTGATATTATGTTTCCCACTTGGCTGTCCTGCTTGCTCTACCTAAACCCATCTATGCACTTAAATCATAGTCTCTGAGGGCCTACACTATGTGTAAGTTATTGTTTATTTGGTTGTCACTTAGCAATTCTCCAGAACTAGCTCATAATTTATTTTAACCAAATATGCCCCACCTTAGAGACCCAACACCATAAATAAAGGGGACTTTTCAGCATTCTAGAAGGTTGAACATTCTGAGGTTCTAATTAGCATGGGATCTACTGGTAGTTCTTTTAAGTGTCTATTATTTCCAAATTGGGAGATTAGTCACAGGGATCTGAGGGGGAAAAAAAACAACAGACCTTTAATAAGCTCTGTTGATAAGAAAAGGCAATTGCAGAAATATAAAAGATTTGTTGCTAGAAGACAAATTGTGATATTGGAGTTGAAAACTTACATTTTGAGCATGTGGAAGAGAATCCAATTCTAGCCGTATCTCCCGAAGATCAATGTTATATGGCAAGTCATAGTGACCTGAAGAAAAGTAAATTTAGGAAAATTTTGGAGGAAGAGAGTGACAAATAGAACAGAATGGTCTGTGATCTGTTCCCCAGCGCTAGCCCACTGAAAAAGTTTATTGGCTTCTCTAGGAGAAGCACAGCTCTGTGTGCGATGTGTGACAGGGATGAGGAGTGTCAGGAAGGGGCTTCTATTTTCCCCAGAGTAGTTTACAGTGAAAATGTATTCAAGTAGTATGTCCATGATTAAATGTCAATTTTTAACAGAAATTTAAACAGAAAAGTGCCTGCTGAGATAAACATGCATTTATAAAGAATTGATTGCGTTCCTGTGTTATAATTCGGGACAGTTTTTTTTTTTTTTTTTTTTTTAAAGAGTCGGTATGTAGGTTGACAGACATCTGGCCATTGGTGGGAAAATTATGTTATGATAAAATGAAAACGCTCCCTGGATTAATTTAATGCAACACTAAAACTAAAGTCTCCTTAAACGTATTTTATGGAACTTGAAAAGTATTTAGATGGGTCAATAAATGGAGCAGAATATGCTCCAAATTTTAAGGTCATAATAGTAGCCTGGTCATGGTAGATGCATATAAAATGACAATTACAAAAAGTCTTTGTTATTAGGGAAAAAAAATCAGTGGAATAAGTAAACAGCTTAGAAATAGACTTAAAATATTGTTAGACTTTAACTAGGAGCAATACAGGAGTATAAGAATTACTAAGATATGCTCTTGGTTGAATAGATAGCATGCGAAAGTGATTTAATATAAATGTGTATGTTACACCAATCTTCAGAAATGTCTAAACAAGTTAAAGAGTTAACTATATTTTTAAGTAGAGGAAGCCATATTTTTAAGTTTAAGAAAACTGAATTGCCTATTATCCAGTTGATTACAGAAACACACATTCAGAGTACATATGAAATGGAGGGCATTACTAGAGGTAAAGAAACGAGGTTTGATAAGTAGATATTTCAAAACATTTATAACAACATGTAATAACATAATAATAAGAGGCAAAACCCAGCATATGAAATATGATACTTGATAAATATTTACTATAAAATACATAAATTATGGATATAATCCAAGGTCATATGAAGGTTTATGGTCAAAGTAACTGAACGGATGCTTTAGACCAAAAGTTGACAAACTATTTCCATAAACGGCCATAGGTCTCTGTCACAACTACTCAACTCTAGGATTGTAGTACAAAAGCAGTCTATAGAGAATAGTGAACAAATGCACGTGGCCGTGTCCCAATAAAATTTTATTTATGGACATGGAAATTTGAATTTCGTATAGTTTTTGCATGTTATGAAATATTCCTTTTTTTTTAATTTTTAAAGACTGTTTAAAAATGTAAAGGTATTCTTGTTGATTGGTTGTACAAAACACGTGGTAGGCTGTAGATTGGTATTTGGCCCCCAGGCTATAGATTGCTGACCCCTGCTTTTTTTGGACCTGTGTTTCTAAAGCATTTTCCTTGAAATAGTAGTCTCAAGAGTTTCTTTCTGAAAAAAGGATGCTGATACGAAATATATTTGGGAAACCCTGTGATCTGTATTACCCACTTGAATTTACAATGAACATTCATATTTAAAAGGCTTCAAGAAGTCACTTAGTGAGAAACCTGCTTGACTTTGGTCAACCCAGTGATGTCTCAACTTCTTTAGCCTCAGTCCCCCTTTTGTCCCATAGATTTTCAACCTGAAAAGGCCTATGCAGGATTGGCCCTGGCCTATCTCTCTGATGTCACTCAATGCCTCTTTTCCCCTTGTTATTTAATAACTACGATTCAGCCATATAGGCCCTCTTTCTGTTCTTTGGCCACCACGCACGTTCACTCCTGCCTTGGATGTTACTCTGTCTGCTGTCCTCCTTGCCTGCAGGGTTCTTTTGCATGATCTTCACAAGGCCCACCTTCATGTTATTCAGTCCTCAGCTCAAAGGTCTCCTTCTCAGTCAGGCCTTCTCTGATGTCCCTTTCTAAAACAGCTCCCTCCGTCTAGCAAGCTCAACCACATGATTCAGTTCTGTTTTAGACATTGAATGTTATGTGACATTTTCTTTCTGTCTCTGTATGTGTGTATGTATATGTATATAGCATGTCCTCACTGCAGTGAAAGTTCTATGAGGGCTGGGACCTTGTCTTTCTTGTCCTTATTGGGTCATTCTGTCCCTAGAAGTGCCTGCCAAATAAAATGAATGCTATATAATTTTATTCAGAGAGATTGCAAGAGGTAGAGAAAGAGATAGAGATGGGGTTGAGGGTGGGAAGAAGAGGGAGAGGGAGAGAGAGAAAGTATTACACAGGTCACATTTTGGGAAATATATTATGCAAAAGAAAATGCAAATACTAGATTATCACTTGAAAATATTCACAATGTCATTAGCAGTTCCAATGCAAATTAAAGTTTACATTGCAACTCAAACAAAGGTTATTCTAAACAGCTCATGTAATTATATCCATCAATTGCTGATGTTTCTGTAAATGATTCCATTTATTAGTTTTTTGGAGCATACACGTAACCTGCAATAAGAACTATAAGATTGTTTATGCTTTTTGACACTTAGGGAAATGCACTTTATAGAAATAATCTGAAGAGGAAAACAGTAATTTTTTCTCAATAAATTGATATCAACACTGGTAATAATAGCAAAAGATTAGAAACAATCATTCTATGGCTATTAAAAATGGCAATTGTAT